TTCAAGCGCCTGCAGCTGCAGGCCCCCTAGCTTTTAGGGTTTTTAAAACCCTAAAAGCTAGGGGGCTTGAAGAGCTAGGGTTTAGGGTTTAGGAAGTTAGTGTTTAGGGTTTGGTGAACACCGGTTTAGCACTTCAAGAATCAGGGTTAGATGTTTCTAAAATTGGGGTTTGGGGAAGAGACAATTAGGGTTTGGGGTTTGGAGAGCTACAATTGAGGGCTTCAAAAATCAGGGTTTAGGGTTTAGGAAATTAGGGTTTGGGAAATTAGAGTTTAGGGTTTAGGGTTTAGGGTTTGCATGCCCGTTCTCCAGCCAGTTATTGAAGTCAAAACCATTTTTCTGTAGAAAGCGCAGCGCCCTTAAGTCCACAGAGAAGATGCTGCGGCCCCTCTGAAAGCACAAACCCTAAGCCCTAAACCCTAAACCCTAAACCCTAAACTCTAAACCCTAAACCCTGGTAACAGCGGCGCGCTGAGTAGGCATGAGAGCGCCGCTGACTCCGCTTCAGAAAGGAGGGCTTACGCCTAGGGTTTCGCAGCAAGGGTTTGGACTGAGTCCCCCCGGGGTTTAGGGTTTAGGGTTTAGGGTTTAGGGTTTAGGGTTTGGGAGCTACTCGGGGGTGGGCGTCAAATGTGTAAGGCTGCAGTATCCACTGCGCCGAATTTGTCTCATCCCTCCGCGCGCAACAAATGCCTATTTGAGCTGCAGCAAAACCCTAAACCCTAAACCCTAAACCCTAAACCCTAAACCCTAAATTCTGTTGATGCTGGCAGTTTGGCGCTGCTGGCCAGTGCCGGAACAAAGACTTGAGGGTTTGCAGCCTAGGGTTTAGGGTTTGAGCCGGGGGTTCACATGTAGGGGCCTGCAGGCTAGGGTTTAGGGTTTAGGGTTTAGGGTTTAGGGTTTGCTAACGCGCGAGGAACTGCTGAACTGCTTTGTGGCACTCTGCGTAATACTTCTCAAGAGAGAGGGGCCGGTGCCTTTGCTCCAGCAGCAAACCCGTGAACTCTGCACGCAAACCCTAAACCCTAAACCCTAAACCCTAAACCCTAAACCCTAAACCCTTAGCAGCGGCTAAACACCGCGAGACGGGCTGACAGCCCTTGTGCAACATTTGGCTGGGATAAGTCTGACTTATATTATTTAATTAATCAATTTCCAAAAGAGGCTCTTTGCTGCTGCTGCTGCTGCTACTGCTGCTACTGCTGCTCTGCTGCTGCTGCTGCTCTGCTGCTGCTGTTCTGCTGCTGCTGCGTTGCTACCGCTGATCTGCTGCTGCTGCTGCTGCTGCTGCTGCTGCTGTTGCTCTGCTGTTCTGCTGCTGGTGCTGCTGCTGCTCTGCTGTTGTGCTGCTGCTGCCTGGCCTTACCGAGGTCAACAGCCACGAATTCAGCGCGGTGTATGTCCTGCACAGCTTGCTGCAGCAGCTGCTGATAACTGTTCTGCTGCTGCTGCTGCCGCTGCTGTTGCTGCTGTTGCTTCTCCATTGTCATAGGCCTCAAGGGAGACCCGAACTCAGCGTTCCTGCATAGCCCCACATTCTGCTGCTGCAGTTCTTGATCACCTTTGCAGCAGCTGCAGCAGCAGCAGCTGCTGCTGCTGTTGCTGCTGCTGCTGTCCTTTGGTGCAGGTGCTGCTACTGCTTCTATACTGCCGTCTTTGCTACTACATAAATGGCGGCAGCTGCTGAATCTGTTGATGACGCTCTTGCAGTGGTTGCCGTTGGTGCTGCTGCTGCTGCTGCTGCTGCTGCTGTTGTTGTTGTTGTTGCTGCTGTTCCTCCCGCTACTGCTGTCGGCCCTGGCACTGCGGCTGGTGGTGGGG